TCTGTCTGTCTGTCTGTCTGTCTCTCTCTGTCTGTCTCTCTCTGTCTGTCTCTGTCTCTCTCTGTCTGTCTCTCTCTCTGTCTGTCTCTGTCTCTCTCTGTCTGTCTCTGTCTCTCTCTGTCTGTCTCTCTCTCTGTCTGTCTGTCTCTGTCTCTCTCTCTGTCTCTCTCTCTGTCTCTCTCTCTCACTCTCTGTCTCTCTCTCTCTCTCGCTCTCTCTCTGTCTCTTCTCTCTCTCTCTATACCTGTCGTTCTATCTAAAGCTGAGATATGTATCCATATCAATACAGATATTTTGTCTGAGGACTTGGCGCATTCATTATTCTTAGATATGAACCACCCTAAGCAGTTTAGCCCCCAATTTGCTGTGTGGTTGGGCTGAGATTAAAGAATCAGATTCAATGTCCTACCTCCATGGTTACAACACACCTTGAAATTGGTTTTTGCTTTTTGCACAGCCACAAACCAACTTTCTTACTGTTGTGTAATCAAGGTGTGACTGAACTATGCAAGTTGAGAGGAAAATTGCAATTGTTTGCAACCTCAGAAATAAGTTTTTTTTTTTAAGAGGAAAAATAATCCAACCTATGTCAACACAACAGGAGTGCAAGAGAAATTCTAGACGTTTGAGGTATATGAAATAATAATAAAAAAATGTAGTTTTTGTAGTAATTTTGCTTTACATTTTGAACGACACCACAGTGCAGCTTCTCCCAACTGGTTTTATCAGCAGTTGAGTGAATCAGTATGTGGTAATTATAATTTGGCAAGTGTCCTGCTTTTCAAAAAATCTGTTTTGACTACTGGATGAGCATTACATCACCTAATTAATATTCATGAGTCAATGCTGATAAGATTTATAATCCCATCCACACATACATTTGATCATTTCTAAGCCTCTGATTTACTCACCAAAACAGGAAAAAAAGAAAAGGGGTAGCATATACTGTATGATAGTTTGGATATAAGCATATTGATCTGATCTTTTCGAATATTCTTCATATAATCAATAAGGTTGTTTTTTGCTTGGCTTTTGTTTTTTAGCCAGTATATTTCATTCAGAGTTCTCTCTAAGGATCAGGGCTAATTGAAACAGGACCAGATGGTCACAGTAGCAGTAGATGATTCCGGAATGTATTGTTGGACAGGGGTGGTGTGATACGTCGCTGGAAAGTCAACCCTGTGAGACAAATGATACACTGCAATCATACATTCAGGAGGAGAATGGGAAGGACAGAGATATAATGAAAGCGAGAGAGATGAAAGGAGGAGAGTGAGAATCTGAATGAGAGGAAGAAAAGGCAAGTAGGCAATTACGTAATCAGAGTTGCTGCTATGGGTGGGGACGATTGGGAGCCGGAGAGGTCATATTGGACAGGAGTCTGGAGCATCCAGCCAGATGTCTCCCACAATGCACAGCTGCTGCAGGGGAAAGACAATGTGGTATGGAAAAACACCTGAGTAATTGCTGAAAGTTGAGGTGACCTGAAATAAAACATACAGTAGTTCGACCTACTGATTTGCCCTTAAAAGGACAGTTCACTTGAAATAAAAATTGGTCATCATTTACTCGTCCCCATGTCGTTGCAAACATATGACACTTTGATCACACTTTATTTTAAGGTCCAATTCTCGCTGTGACCAAACCATTAGCTATGACTTTTGCCTCAATAAACTCCTAATTTGCTGCTTATTAATAGTTAGTAAGGTAGTTGTTAAAGGGATAGTTCACCAAAAAATGAAAATTCTGTCATTAATTACTCGCCCTCATGTCGTTCCAAACCCATAAGACCGCCGTTCATCTTCGGAACACAAATTAAGATATTTTTGATGCATCCCGTGAGCTCCCTGACCCTCCCATAGACAGCAAGGATCTTAACACGATCAAGGTCCACAAACGTAGCAAGGACATCGGTAAAATAATCCATGTGACATCAGTGGTTCAACCGTAATTTTACGAAGCTACGAGAATACTTTTTGTGTGCAAAACGACTTTATTCAACAATTCGTCTCATTTTGTATCCACTGAACGTAAACAGCATATGCTGTTCTGTGTCAGCTGTGTCACGCGGATATGTTAGCTGCGTCCCAAATGATGCACTACACTATGCACTTATACACTATGTACTCAACCATGAAGAGTATGAATTATATAAGGTTGTTCTGTCATTCATAAGCAGAGTCTGATAGCCCCTCCCACTTCTGTACGTAATTAAAGCTGCGACAGTTGAGTGCATGAAGTGTCCAACATTCCACACTTAGTTTTTTTGGTTATTTAAGTGCATCATTCGGGTATTTAAAGTGCACTTTTTTGAGGGAATTTTCAGTGTAAATGCAGTACTCGCACTATTTATACTACAAAATGTCATAGAATAGTGCATAAGTACGCGATTTGGGACGTACCTGTTGTTTTCATTCAGATCAAAATGCAGACAACGTAGAAAACGTATCCGCGTGGCTTAATTCAGGCATTTTGCTGACTATATTTCAGTTGTTTTAAAACATACCAAAGATCCACTTTATATGGCACGTTTTGGTGCTTTTTGTCATTTTTTGGAGTGTGATCATTCCAGCCCCCATTCACTTTCAGTTTCTTCAAGTAGAAGAGCACCCAGGATAAAAATAACATAATAAATGTATTATAAATTAATAAATATTTATTTATTTTATACTAAATCTTACTATTTCTTTAAATAGTAAAATATTGTCTTCAACATGAGGATGAAGAAACGATGACAGAATTTTCACTTTTGGTGAAATATTCCTTTAAAAAAAGGAAAGGGGCATAATTGAGGGAATAGAATTATTTAACAGCGTGAGAGAGGTGGTGATGAAATTAAAGAGCTAATAGAGGAGCAGAGATTGCAGACATGGGACAGAGCGAGTGAGAGAATTAAAAGAGAGACAATGGAGAAAAAAAAGCCTCTGACTCATCCTCAGCTGCGGGGGCAAGGGAGGTTTCTCTCTCTCTCTCTCTCTCTCTCTCTCTCTCTCTCTCTCTCTCATATATGCATGTGGGTGTAAATAAGCCATAAGACGGACAGAAAAGGGAGATTTCTCCATATCTCCCTCCTCTCACAGGTGGGCACAGCTCTGTCACATGTGTAAACAAAGCACTTTTTCTATCTTCCTCCCATGTTTCTGCCTCTCTCTTCTTGTCTCATTACTTCCCTTCCAATTAGTCATGATCTACAGTGTAATTGTCACAAAACACAAAATAGGACACTTGTTGGAGAAAAACACTGAAACAGACTCAATAAAATTCTGAAATTAAATTTTCATAACACAATACACTGGCTAATGAGGATATGCTTCCCCAGTGCGCTAACCATGTGTAGCACTGCAGTCCTGCCAAGAGTGTTGTTTTGGTTTAAACCAAGGCCCAAAATGTAGACTAGTACATAAACACAAATGCCTTCTGTGCTGCAAATCTATGAATGTTTTGCCCACTAGGTCTAAGTACCAGTCATGTGACTGAAAACGATGAATACCTGAAGAAAGCTAGTTAGCTGTTAGCATTTCCATTGGCATTTTGTCAACATTTAGTAATGTACTAGCGTATTGCTAGCCTCAAAACTAACACACATGAACTAAATGCCTCAAAGCTCAAATCTGGATTTCATAGGTTCTTTCATGGCACAGATATTTGAAGGTAACTATTTACCACAGTAACACAAGAACATGTTGTATGTACAACAGGATCGCATGCTTGTAATGTGTTAGCATAGCATCAACATTTGCGTACTTGCGTAGAGTATGTTTCTGACCTAAGAACCACTGTAATCTAATTTGCTGTTATTTCTGCTGTCACCTTTGTTCACCCCTTACTAGTGTTTCAACTTTTATAATTAAGTGTACAGTTGTCATGGATATGCGTAGGGTAGTTATGTTGGAGGTGTGGGACTAACTCTACTGCAGTGGCATTTTTCTCTGTCTGCTTTCTCAGTCAGCTGGAGAAAAGCCAAATGGCTCAAAGAAAGTACACACTTGCTGGTTCAATACTGCACATGAGTGCACACAAGCAAGGACGTCTGCTGGTCTCTCCGACGGCCTACCTGGTGCAAATATTTAGTGATGTACTACCATAAATAAACGTTTATGGGTTTCATATGGCCTTCAAAATATGTTTGCGCTGTTGAATAACCAAGGGAAATCTCTTTGCGTTCACAAACGCAGATAAGAGACAAGGGTTTTTGGTGTAGTGTCACAGACATGCAGATATTGATGACCTGATTTACGTTTCTTTCCTTCCACACTCTTTTTTTCTTTCACTCTTCTACTAATTTCTAGGAATTTCCGGAAGCATTTAAGAATGGTGGGCAGCAGAAGAATTAAAGCACAAAGTGAGTCTATGTGTGAGTGTACAGTATGAATGATTGCACAGCTCCATTTGTGAGTTTTGTGTGTTTTTTGTTTGTACATGTGATGCACGTGCTGTAGATTAGCATGTGCATGTGTATTTTTGCATGTTTGTATGAAAGATGATTGACAGTTTTGGGTCATTGTGACCTATAAACCAGCGACAGAGGACGAGTGTTGGTCCATTTTGGTTCTGTGTTTTTTAAGTGTAGCATAGGAACAAATGGACATTGAAGCATATGAGAAATGTGTGTGTAGTTGTTGTTGGTGTGTTTGAGTGTATGTGATGCAGCCCACAGTCTGTGAGGATCATGGGGCGTCGCATGTGTGTGCGTGTGACCATCTCTCCACTTCACTAGCATTTGCAGAGCGCAGGGCGAAGAGTTTCAACCGATCCTGGAGTGATCCGACCCCTGTCAAACAAGACTCCCTAAACGACTCAAAAGACAGTGAGTCCATCTGTACACACATGCTTATACATGCCACTTTGACACACTTAACATATCAAGATCACAGCATAAAATGGTTGACAGCACTAGTTATTACTTATTTACACTGCTGTTCAAAGGTTTATGGTCAGTGCTTTTTTAAATGTTTTTGAAAGAAGTCTAATGCTCACCAAGGCTGCATTTATTTGATCAAAATTCAGTTAAAACAGTAATATTGTGAAATACTATTACAGTTTAAAATAAGTATGTATTTATTCTATTCTATTCTATTCTATTCTATTCTATTCCTGTGGTGGCAAACCAAAAAATCATTACTTCAGTCTGTAGTGCCACATGAAAATTCAGAAATCAGAAACATTTCTTCTTATAATACATTTCGAAAGCAGTTGTGCTGCTTAATATTTTTGTAGATTTTTTTTTTCTTTTTTCAGGATTATTAACAGAAAGTAAAAAAAAAAAAAAAAAAAAAAAATGAATAAAAGTATTTATTTAAAACAAAAAATCATACAGACCCCAAACTTTTGAACATTAGTGTATATAAAATCATTACATTACGACCAGAAGCCTTCTTGCAGACCACTTATATATCCCACACATACACAGTCTGGCAGCGACGTTCCTCCTCTGCTCTTGATGCTGATCCTGTTTGTCTGTCTTCCTCTGAGCGTGGTTCTGTCTGTCAGCATGTTAACTCTTTGTGTAGTTTGTCTTTAGACTTATTTTTGTCATCATGTTTGTTTTTGCTACCTGTGTCTTCAGGGAGCCTTAAGAATGATTGTGAACATTTGATTTACAGTTGTAATATTTGTATGTTGGCTTTTCTCTGTCTGTTTTGTATCTCTATAGCTGCCTGGTTTTTCTCTCCTCTTTACTTTCTCTTATACAACCACTATACTACAGTCTCATTGCAGTTTTAAATGTATAACTCTAGTTAGGTGTACTGCTGTATATTTAAATGGACTGCAGTCAAACAAGTGTGAAGAGAAATTCACAGCAAATTAAAGCTCCATTTTAGACGTTAAAAGGATAGTTCACCCAAAAATGAAAATGCTCCAGATGTCATCATTTTGTCACCCTCATGTCATTCCAAACCCACAATCTGTTATTTTTAGTGGAAAATGAAGAAATGAACTTTTCATGTATGGAAAATGTATCACAACTGTCCAAAAAGGACTTTCAGATCCTTTTCATTAAAATTAAAATTTTGATTAGTTCACAAAGTGTTATTTTAGTATTATTTATATATACTTATAAACTGTTATAGTATTTAATAATATTTTTTTTCCTAAACTTAGTTTTGCCAACTTATTTCATTTGCCAAGGCAACATTTAAAATTTTCTTTTAAGGGTTTTTTAACATAAAATTTATGTTTTATTTTATTGGGAAATAAATTGAATAATTCGTTTTTAGTTAACAGTAATAACACTACAGGATGTATTGTGGAATTCCAGGCAACACTGAATATTCATAAAGTCATATGAACTACTTTTATGATGCTTTTTGTCGGGTTCTGTTTCGACATTTTCAGTACCTTGACAGTTGTGGTCAATATTAACCATCCTTCTGTGGGATTTCCTTAAAAAATCTCTTCATGTTCCACATAAAATATAACAGCATAAAGGTTTGGAATAACATTTTTTGGTGAACTTTTCCTGTTATCAGTTTATGACTCCTAACTTTGAAGCAAAACAGCTCAATTACTGCAGTCCATGTAAACAAATTCACTGTCAATCTGTCTTATCTTTGTTCCTTTTTGTCTCTATCTGAGCCTTTCTCTTTCTCCATCCACTCTTTCCTCTTCTCATTCCTCGCTTGTCTCTTTGTTCCTTTTTTCTCTTTGTCTTCCTTCTGCTTTCTCTGTGTCCATCATTAAACTCTCTGCTGTGTTGTGTGATGCCACAGGTGGGGATCTGCAGACGACCTGCGGTACTCCAGAGGAGGGCGGATGTGAAGACATGGACTGGGAGGAGGAGAGAGAGATGGAGAGACTGGCGTGTGAGGTGGATGACTTCATCCCTCCTAAAATTATGGTATGCAATTTAATTACATTTAAAAAAACAATTTTTTCCAGTTTTTACCGCAATTCAGGTTTTGATTTTTTCTTTTGAATTTTTAAGTAATTTTGCTTCACATAGCTATATTGTAAATATAATGTTAATTTAATGTATTATATTTTACTTTAATGTAATTTACTTGATTAACTTAAATTCATTTCTTGGTGACCATTTTTATTTGTTACTTAAGTAATTTTATTTGACTTAATTACATAAAATTTACAATGTTAATTTATTCAACTTTTATTTATTTTTTTTTTACATAATTTAAGTTAATTTTGAGTCATTTTCAGAATATTACTGTAATTTATTTGTTTAATTTAATTAAAATTTTTGTCACTTTTGTATCCTTTAGCTGATCTCATCTAAAGTTCCTAAAGCAGAATATGTTCCCAACATCATTCGAAGGGACGATCCATCTATTATACCTATTCTCTATGTAAGTCAAGCCAGTCTTCACTCTACATCACATAGGAATACTTTACACATCATCCAGATGTCCATTTTTAACATTTACATTAAAACAAATGAGTAGTTAATGGATTTTCACTGAAAAATATTTGAAACACAAAGCTAATGTTTGCTTTGTCCTGTGCAGTAGAACCAAAGGCACTCTGTAGGATGTGATACAAGAGGACACATCACAAAATACTGTCCAGAGGTTTAAACAGACAAGTGATGACCAAACTGATAGCAAACACAATAGTAAATGATAACACGTCCTCAACAGCACAAAGAAACGCAGAAGCCAGTAATGTTATCTGGAGTGTGAATTAGAGATTATAGACATTAAGCATGATACAAAGAACATTTTCCCTTCAGAATTGGTCTAATCTGTGTGTTTATATTGATTGTTTTCATTATTTTTATCTCCAGGATCATGAGCATGCCACGTTTGATGATATTTTGGGTATGTAGCTTTATGTGTGTGTGCTGTTTGTTGCTGTGTGTTTGCTGGCCGTGTGCTTTTTTGTGTGTGTGTTTGAGCATTTTACCCCTTGCCTGGTTATTTCATTGTGGAACGACGGTGGGCTTTGTATTGATTTTTGCACCAGCCAGCATGAGAAACACAAAAACAATTGGATTCCTGATAAATGACACTGGATCAGAGAAGTACCTATATTTTCTAGTGACTGTTTTACAACAGTGATTCTATAAAATCTGTGGTGATCAAGATTTATTCAATGTGTTTTGGAGTCAAACAGAATCAGAAATTCATAAATTAACATTTTTTTCTTCCTTTTAAATGTCAGTGGGCAGTTATGCTAATTATAATGTTGATTGTTTGTTCATTTGTTTGTCCATATAACAAGCAACAAAATGATGATAGCCATCAAAATTAGCTCATTATTAACAACAAAAACAAAAAAAACTAATATTTAGGATTGAAAGGGCTTGACAAGTATATAATATAATATAATATAATATAATATAATATAATATAATATAATATAATTATATATTTGCATGCAAATCAATAAAGCAATAATGCAAAAAAATGGTGGTTACATGAGATTTGGAAATTCAGTCCTGAATAAGTCTGTTATGTATTGAATAATATTGTTATATATTAAATAATCCTTTAAAACCGTGATTATAGACTCTTACATGTAAAGTTAGGTTAGGATAATTTATAAAATTATGAAAGGGCTTGAAATAATATATAGAAATAATGCATAATATCATCCCATATATAACAATTATAATATAATATAATATAATATAATAAAGGGTAACCTCGGGAATAAAGTAAAAAAAAAAAAGGAACATTGCAAGAAAATTGTGGTTACATTATCTTATTTTTGACATCTAAAATGTTATATTCTGAATAAGCTGATAGAACTGTGATTATAGACTCTTACATGCAAAGTAAAATCAGTCTAATATGCAAAAGTTTTTGCTTGCCATGGCTTTTCCCCAATATTTTAAAGGCTGTAGACTGTCAACTTATGTATATTCACTGTAAGATCGTGCATGTATATGCACTCAGTGTGACTACAGCAGCGTGTTTGTTTTGTGTGCAGAGGAGATTGAGAAGAGATTGACAGCCTACAGGAGGGGCAGTAAGATCTGGCGCATGATGATCTTCTGTCAGGTGAGAAAAAACAAAGCCAACAAACAAACAAAATGACAAGAAATGAGACTGTAAGTGCACCAGAGTGAATCAGCAGTGTCTGTGGGAATAATACAGTACTCACTGCTGTCTCAGTTTGATGTTGCGTAATGGTTGTGTGTTCAGATGGACAGGATTTCTTTCACAGGTCTGTCTCTCTCAGTTCAGAGGGCAATACTACTGGTCTTCTGTTTCTTTGAGTTTGATGTTATGTAAGGTTTCAAATGTGTAATTTTCTGTTTCAGGGTGGCCCGGGGCACCTGTACCTTCTGAAGAATAAAGTGGCCACTTTTGCCAAGGTCGAGAAAGAGGAAGACATGAGCCAGTGAGTGAGATCCATAGAAAAGTCTTGTTTTGATATTCCTTTAGTGACTGTTATCTGAGATATTTCGCTCACGTGTTTGTGGTGTACATGCAGGTTTTGGAAACGTCTGAGCCGGTTTATGAGTAAAGTGAATCCAGAGCCCAACCTGATCCACATCATGGGTTGTTACGTACTGGGCAATCCTAATGGAGAGAAGGTATGTCACGTTCTGAAGCAGCAAGTCTGCAGTATTTACGTAATGCTTGTACCTTGAGTTTCTGCATTATATTTAGAAAAGGTCCCTCTGGGGCCTGCCGTGGCCATGTTCAGCTCTCATCTCTTTAGACACAGACATGCACCAACTCCATCTCTCCATTTTTCTATATAACACCTCTCTGTCTGTCACCATCATGCCTGACAGCATTTCCCCCCTGGTTATTTAACTTAAAAGAACCCTTTCCTGTCCAGTACTCAATCTTTAATAGATATAGAGCTGTGTTTATGCATCAGCACTCTGTAACCGTCTATTCATTGCAATTTGTGAAAGTGTTCTTACTTTTTCCTGTTAAGTACACTTTAGTTTCTGGAAATACTTCATATTGTCTTCTTTAATGTAATGAATAAACCCAACTTTGACTCTGACTTTGGCGATTGTTCAAAAGTGTGTCAAAAATGACAGTAAAGACTTTTATATTGCAAAATATTTCGATTTCAAATAAAATAATCCTGAAAAAAAATATCAGTTTCCACAAAAAATATTAAGTAGCAAAACAGTTTTCAGCATTGATAATTATTCAGGGTAATAATAAAACCATTACAAAACTGTTACTTAAAATAAATTAATTTCAGCTAGTTGCCAATGCATATTTTCACATGTTCTTTTAGTTTACCTTGACCTACCTGCTAAAATAACTGAAATAAAAATTAAACGCAACAAAATGACTAAAACTATAAAAATAAAAAAATAAATATTATTAAAAACTATAGTAGAATATCAACAATACTAAAATAGATAATCATTAGAACTGTTTTTGAGCACCAAATGAGTATATTACAATTATTTGTTTTAGTACTTATATATATTCTTTTCGTTTAAGTACTAAATGAAACAAAAATGAAATAAAAATGAATAAGAACTGTGTAAACTAATAAAAATGACAAAAACACAACAAAATGACTACATCTTTACCAGAAATATAAATTTAAATAAAAATATAAACATAAAAACTATGTAGTATGGCATATATAGTATATTTAAAGCACTAATACTAAAATAATACTAATAATAAAAATAAAAAAATGTTTCTTGAGCACTATGATTTCTAATGATTTCTGAAGGATCATGTGACACTGAAGACTGGAGTAATGATGCTGAAAATTCAGCTTTGCATCACAGGAATGATTTAGATTTTAAAATATGTTTAAAATAGAAACAATTCTTTTAAATTAAAATAATATTTATCAGTAACATTACTGTTTTTACTGTATTTTTGATTAAATAAATGCAACCTTGGTTAGCATATTTGCTAGACATATATTAAGAGACTACTGAAATGTAGTGTATATAACACTCAAACTAGTTGCTGTGATCATTAACATCTAATTTGAGACTTCCTTAACTGTTGGACGTCAGGCTTGAACGCAAATCTCCATCTGTCATTTAGGGTCAGCCTTAACTTTCAGCTCGTTCCGTCTTGGCCTGACGAGTGTTATATGACAGGAGCCCCGAGAGTACGCCCCAAGTACACATTCATGCCGCCCTTGGAACCTAATGTACGAATGCGTTTCTATGGAGACGGGTTTGGCGTAAGTCTCATTCGCCGTGCGTCATTGCCCAAGAGGCGCCACCGTTCACGAGAATTGCGTTCGCGTGCGTTCTTGTGATTGACACACGGAGGATGACTGACTTGTGTGAGTTTGTGAACGCATGCTGGGTTATCTTCCGAAAGAATTTGGCATTCGCGAGTGAATATCAATGCACGTTTATCTCAAATGGGAACTCTATGAATATTGCAGCATTTGTTTGTGGCGTCCCCCTTAGCGTTGTGCTCATGTTTTCATTTTTATCCAGTCTGTAAGGCACTGGCTTCTTTCACAGGGTGAGCCGGAAGAGAAAATCTGTGTCTGTAACTTCATCTTTAATCTCTGTCTGGGTTCTGAAGCCTCTCAGAACGTTGCATGGATGTTAAGATCTTAACTGGGTTCTTTTGAAGGTTCTCGTTTGCCTTTCCTGTTGCCCGTGTGAGATTTATCCAGGGCCACAAACACAGATGCTGCCATTATCCCTAACTAACCTCCTCGAGTCAAAGAGCGAGTGAAGGAGAGAGCGAGAGAGCTGTGTGAGGGGGAGAAAAAAAGCAGATTATTAATGTCTTGGCTTATCATGTGCCAACAGCTGTTCCAGAAACTGAAGAACCTGATGAGGCCTTATTCTGTCAAGTTTGAGTCACCGCTGGAGCTCTCCGCTCAGGGTGAGACTGTCTGCAATGTGCTTATGCTCACACTCCTACACGCAAAAATAAACACACATAAACAGACTCTTCCTTGCATGATTTGAAATCTAGTAGTTGTTAATGAAGGAATACTGATATATACTGTATATATACAGAATTCAAAATCTGACCTTCATGTCATTCCAGACTTGTACAGTTATTTTTTTCTGTTATTTTTTTTCATATAAATAATATAGATCAGGGTCAGTACGAATAAATTTGAACAAATTAATTAATTTATATTTATTCATATATCTTTTGCAAAGAATGCATTAAATTGATGGAAAAGTAAAAGTAAAGATAATGTTTCAAATATATACTATTCTTTTAAACTTTATATGCATCAAAGAATCCTGAAAAAAAACAACGTATCACGGTTTTTTCAAAATCAAGAACTATTAGAAATGTTTCTTGAGCACCAAATCAGCATATTAGAATGATTTCTGAAGGATCATGTGACACTGAAGACTGGAGTAATGATGCTGAAAATTCAGCTTTGCCATCACAAGAATAAATAATGCTTTAAAATATATTATATAAAATATAGTTCTTTTAAATTCTAATTATATTTTACTGCATTTTTAAATAAAATAAATGCACGCTTGAGGCTTCTTTCAAAAACATTAAAAATTCTCATCAGCCTTAAAAGTGTGAAGGTATGTCTACTGACACTCTTTGCGTATGATTTAAGGAATCGAATTTTGGCATTTGCTCACCCTCATGTTGTACCAAACCCATATGGTTTGAAATGGCATGGCGGCGAGTATGATGATAAATTTTTACTTAATGGGTAATTCTCATCTTTACTGACATGCCTTTATAGTAAACCATTCAAAGGAAGTTTACAGGTCTTTTTCTTCATTTATTTTCACCTGTCCTGGGCCGACTGAACAACCCACCTCTCTTTCTTTGACTCTCAATTTTCTCTCTTCATTCTCTATAATTTCTCTCTCATCTCTCTTTATCTATATCATCCCCCACTGCATGCTGTTTTCCAATTACGGCCTGAGCAAATCTATATGGAAGTGTCTGTTCATCATAGAGAGACGTGTTCACATTGAATTCACCAATTGTATTCCAGACTCATATCTCCCTCTCTTATTTCCCTCTCTTTTAGGCAAAGAGATGATTGAGATGTACTTTGACTTCCGTCTGTTTCGACTTTGGAAAACCCGGCAGCACTCAAAACTCCTCGACTACGAAGATCTCTTGTGACCCCACGCGGGTCAGTGTGTAGCATTGCGGGCAGGACGTCCCACTGTAAAACTCCATTCCACCAGCTTTCATTTTGGAGTTCCGGAGGAAGAGGAGTGGAGAGGGACACAGCCACTTCGCTGCCATCACTACGTCTCGAGCATTGTTCATTTCAGCTCACCTCTGTGGACTTCGACCGCCTCAGAACGGTAACACAAGAAACAAAAACGAGTGGCAAATGGTTCAAAACACAAGAGAAATCCGGATACGTGGTGTTTTTGTTCTCTAATGGAGAAAAGAGAAGTTGTTTCTCAGAACTGGTTGACAGTCTGTCGACTGCTTTTGTTTTTAAACTAACATATCGCAGACTTATCGATCACTAGCCGAGACCGTTGTGCTTACAAGTGTCACGCCGAAACTTACCTACCAGAACACAAAAATGGTCCTATATGAAATAACTAATATATCGGTATACATACAGGATATACATCTCATGAGTATATAGAGTAGCTATAGTCATGCAAATAATCTAAATGTCAATGGTACACAATTTACTTTTTCAATGTTTATTGTTGTGGTCTTTCTAACAAACTATTTTGAATAACTCAGGTTTTAGGCTTTACGGATATATTAATTACTCCCCTATCCAGATAAGTGGAAGTCATTTAGGTGGAAAGAATGGACATTCTGTCGACATACTTCATAGATTTAGTAATCTTTCATCACGTTTTGCTTCCGGCACAACTCATTGCATGCCAGTATCTGTCCCTCCATCGAAAAACATAGCCCCGCATTGCAAAACACAACCATACACAGTCCCCAAACTGGGAAATCGTAACTTCCAGTCATATAATAATAGAAACACTGACCTCAGTATAGCCAGACATCTACACCAGGTGTACCTGAAGCGTCAGCAGGAACATAGCATTACAGGGAGACGTTACAGAACTGCTAAAATAAGCGCTTGTGTCAATGTGTTCATAACAATTAGGCTGTTTTCACACTTGGTTTGACTGCTTGGTTTGAACCTGTCTGTCTTTAAATATAGTATTCGGCTTCAAGCGGCAGTATATTTGCGACTTCATCATGTTTCTCAATACATGTGGCTGCTATCAAAAAAGGGAATTGTTGTCCAGTTCACTTATTTACTCATTTGTTTGAGTTTAGTACCAAATTTTACTGTGGCACTTCAATCTGTACTAAATATACAGCAATTAGTTATTAATATTTCATTCTGCAAGGATTGATTAACTTGATCAAAAGACTGGAATAATGGCTGCTAAAAATTCAGCTTTGCATCACAGGAATAAATAACATTTTAAGAAAACAGAAAACACTTAAATTGTAATATTTAAAAAGTGAAAAAAGTGACGTGACATGTGGCCAAGTATGGTGACCCATACTCGGAATTAGTGCTCTGCATTTACCCGTCCAAAGTGCACACACACAGCAGTGAACACACACACACTGTGAACACACACCCGGAGCAGTGGGCAGCCATTTATGCTGCGGCGCCCGGGGAGCCGCAGCATCCCTTGCCCTTGCTCAAGGGCACCTCAGTCGTGGTATTGAAGGTGGGAGAGAGCGCTGTACATTCACTCCCCCCACCTACAATCCCTGCCGGTACGAGACTCGAACCCGCAACCTTTGGGTTACGAGTCCGACTCTCTAACCATTAGGCCACGACTTCCCTTCCAATATTTCACAATATTGCTGTTTTTACTGTATTTTTGATCAAATAAATGCAGTCTTAAATCCAAAAATCTAACTGACCCCAAACGTTTGAATGCTAGTGTATGTATACTAAATAATATGCCATCAATAGCTTCTGGCATCCACAAATAAAGCTGGATTACTTTCATAACAATTGTGAATCATACTTGACTCCACATGAATCCGTTTTCTTGACTTATGTTTGTTTTGATGATATCAGAAGCTGATTTCACCCCAACCAAATGGATTTGGGTTCACACCATCAGCTTTAGTGTGAAAACAGCCTCTCTCTATTTAGTCTAAAGCCGTTGGTGTTGTGGGTCACGAAGAGGCGTTTTTCTGAAGGTCATTGTTGCCTTATGGGGCAGGATGGTATTTGATGGCCGTATATGGATAATAGAACCATTTAGACCGTTTTATGGCAGCTTGCAGGTGTAAACTCTATGCATTCTTCTTCTTCCATTAGTAGCTTTCAAAGGTTTAGAGCAACTCGGGAGTTGTTTCTCATGTGTATCTTTATGAATGTTCTAATGTACTCAGCTAATAAGCCATACCCTCTTTAGCAAGCTGCTCAGACTGATGGCTCTTTGATGTGGATGGCTTCAGGCACTCATGGAGAACTTCCAGCTGGTTGAACGATGGTATCTTCTCTTGTCTTGTTTTTTTATGTATCCATAATGCTAATTGGCTACTCCTTTAGTGTTATTCAAGAAATCTTTAACTTAATTGATAGACAGAATGAGGTCTTGCCCCATGAAAATAAGTGAAGCCGTAAGTATGCTGTCAAGCCATCTTATTGAGAGGGAAAGGAACTCCAACAACAAGCTAATAGAACGTTAGCAACATACCTTGCCAAGATGTGAATCATCTGGGAATGTATCCATTTAGAGATGATTTAATGGTGTTTAATATTAAAATACCTTCTCTTATTTCAATTTAATATGGATGCACAACTAAAAATAGGGTTTATTTCCCAGAAAAGTGTAAACACTGTGGTTCAACCAATGGCGTGAGTTGGGGGCGGTACTAATTTGTTCATTCTAAAGTGTTGTTGATAGGGGTGTAACAATACACTCATGTCATGATTCATTTTGATACACAATATCTCCTCATGATATCTCCTCACGATACGATATACTCTCATGACGCAAACAAAGCCAAAATACAGTTAAAGGAATAGGAATGAAAATTGTCACCGTTTACTCACCCTCCGCTTGTTTCAAACCGGTATGAATTTCTTGCAGTTGTTGGACGCAAAAGATATATTGAAGAATGTGAGTAAGCAAACAATTGACAGTAGCCATTGACTTCCATAGTATGGGGAAAAAAATAATACTATGGATGGAAGTCAGTGGCTACAGTCAACTGTTCGGTTACCAACATTCCTCAAAATATCTTTTTTTTGTGTTCAGCAGACGAAGAAAACGTGTACAGGTTTGGAACAACACGAGGGTGAGTAGATGACAGAATTTTCATTTTTAGTTAGCTATCCCTTTAAAATGTTTTTATTATTATTATTATTATTTCTAAGACATGATAAACAGTTATCAAAAAGTACTGTTCATTAAAATGCTAAATTTGGTATTACATCAGGGTATACTTGAATATTTTTGGACTAAATACATTTAAAAAGTTTAAAATATTATATTTTATTAAATGTATTTTATTTTTAATGTATTAATAATATTTAATAAACATGGAAGATGACCTTCTGGGTATACCATATTTGATATGCTCCATTACCATATTTGATGCAAAATTTAAACTTTAAACTTTTATTTTGGGTAAACACACAATACATACTGTTGCTATCCACGCTACAAATTCCTGCATTTCTGTATTATGATATATTGTGACACAACATATTGTTACATCCCTGGTTGTCGACATACTTTTGGTCGTATATGGCACATTTTTAATCACAAATGTTGCAAATAAAGCAACAAGGAACATTTTAGCAACATATTTAACCATTAAAACATTACATATTTAGCAATGTATCTAAAACGCATCAAAATGCACACTTTGATTGGACATCTTGGCAATGTACATGTACTACCAAGGTATTTAGCCATTCATGCCCTCATTTTAAAGGTAAAAAAGTGATCCAATATGGCAGACATACACAAAAGCTAGTGAAGAAAAGCTTTAATTAGTCTGCAAAATTGCACTGGAAGTGTCTGGATATAGAATACAGTAGGGTTCTGTTATCATAGGGGACGTTGCGATCTCTCTAGTCTAGCTGACACGCCACTTCCCCTAAAGGGCTGCACCCCGGCCAGAAAATAGGTTGCAAATGAATTGGGCCTGATCCTCTAGCAATTCCAGTCATTATGCGGCCATCTGTGACTCACAGTAGGCGTCAGAGAGCCTGGCATGTCAGAGGGAAAGAGAGAATCTACAGTCACTATATTACAGACGGCAACATCACGCTATAGCGGGAACATTTGGTGGTGAGAGTGAATGTTATCTCGGGACGTCCAGTATGAACAGAATGCATCAAATGGAGGGCAGTCGTATCACTCAAATCACTTATTACAACTGTTCTGTACGAATGTTTGCACATTTATTCATTTACATCATATAGTGTTTTAAAGCTGTTTGTCGATGTAGCAATATATGTAATTCCTCTATGATGTAAAAGTTAATGTTTTGAGCTTTTTACTCATTTATTATATTTATTATATATTTATGCTATTTATTTTGTACTTGTGCTGGACAGTAATGCCTGTTTGTGCAAAGCCTTCTTTTCTTGTTAAGGAAGAATCTTGATTCTTCAAAGCTTTGGCAATGTCAATTATAAATTGATCTTTTTAGCCTCAAAAAATGTTTTCCAGTAACACTTTATAATAAGGGTCAATTTGTTAACATGAATGCATTAGGTACAATAAACAACATCTTTTTATGAATCAGTGTTATTTTAATATTATTAATCATTATAGTATTTATACATTTTTTTAATTAGCTTTTATTTTATATTTTTATTTTCATTTAGGTTTTACTATTTTTATTTTATTTTTTGTTATTTGTTTTAGTAATTTTGGTATTTTATTTTTATTTCAACTTTATATCAATTATCAAAAGTATTCATTTTTAGTTTTAGTTAACAATGAGAACTCTTTCATCTAGCTTAATTTTATTCGTTCATTTTAATAGAAATATATTGTTGTTCATTGTTACCTCATAATACTACACATAAATAATGTATAAACAATGATAATTAATGTATAATGTTGATTTATTCAACTTAAAATGTTAAAATATGTAGAAATTAACAATAACTTTGAATAATAACTGCTGTAAAAGTATTGTTTATTTTTAGTGTATAAAACCCTTGACATTAACAGTCATGTTAAGACATTGAACCTTACTGTAAAGTCTTACTGATCTCACTTGATGCCAGTTTGCTTGTACTTGATGTAAACAGAGACAGTTTATAGAAGGCTGTCAAGTTCAGCTCCTGCCCAAATGTCATCAATAACCCAACCCCTAGTCCCAAAGATTTGGTGGTAGAGGTTGATTCTAAACCAGCTAACCAACAGAACGTGCATATGTTTAAATTGGCATTGTTTGTTAAAAGAGTTTGATGTGCATGAATTAGCGGTTTCAGCTGTCACTCTACATGATCAGAAGATTGCCTCAGCTTTAACAGTGTTTAGCCATCTCATGTATTCCCTTTGTTGTTGGGCCTAAACTAATTGTGTAAAAAATGTATTAAAGGAGCAGTGCAGTAATTTTTTTAGACAAAAGATT